TGATTGAGTACTGGGGACTGTGGAGGCCATTTTAGTACAGTGAACTCATTGTCATGTTCATGAAACCAGTCTGAGAGGATTTGTGCTTTATGGTATGGCACATTATACTGCTGGAAGTAGCCATCAGATGATGGGTACACTGTGGTGATGAAGGGATGGACATGGTCAGCAACAATACTCAGGCAGGCTGTGGTGTTGACATAATGCTCATTTGTTACTAAAGGGCCGCATGTGTGCCAAGAAAATATCCCTCACACCATTACACCACCACCACCAGCCTGAACCATTGATACAAGGCAGGATAGATCCATGTTTTTATGTTGGTGATGGCTAATTCTGACCTTGCCATGCAAATGTCATCAGACCAGGCAATGTTTTTACAATCTTCTATTGTCTCATTTTGGTGAGCCTGTGTGAATTGTAGCCTCAGTTTCCTGTTCTTAGCTGACAGGAGTGGCACATGGTGTGGTCTTCTGCTGCTGTAGCCCATCTGCCTCAACGTTCAACATGCTGTGTGTTTAGAGATGCTCTTCTGCATACCTCAATTGTAATAAGTGGTTATTTGAGTTACTGTTGCCTTTCTATCAGCTCGAACCCGTCTGGCCATTCCCCCCTGTCTTCTGGCATCAACAAGTCATTTGAGCCCAAAGAACTGCCTCTCACTGGATATTTTTTATTTTTCAGACCATTCTCTGTAAACCCTAGAGATGGTTGTCTATCAAAGTTCCAGTGGATCAGCAGTTTCTGAAATAGTCAGACCAGCCCATCTGTCACCAACAAACATGCCATGTTTAGTCACTTAAATCATCTTTCTTCCCCATTCTGATGCTTGGTTTGCACTGCAGTAGAATGTCTGGACCATGTCTACATGCCTAAATGCATTTAGTTGTTGCCATGTGATTGGCTGATTAGAAATTTGTGTTAACGAGCAATTAGATAGGAGTACCTAATAAAGTGGCTGGTGAGTAAACATTTATTTGGTGTCCCAAAAAGGCATAAGGTCTATTTAACTGTATCTTTTATTAGATTAGTTTAGTTTTACAGGAATATTGTGATATTTGTCATGTATGTTTGTAATGAGGCAACAAACACCTGTACACTGCTGAATATAAGTGTTTATCCATCATGTCATATCACTCAGCTCTTACTTTGATTTTTCTGGAGTGATAGGCCACCAATAAACTATGTTTGAGGTACTGTACATATTAATTCCTGCATCTGTTTTCATACAGTACATGTTCAAAACACAAAATGCAACTCTAAATGCATCTCTGTCTGCCCATTTGTCTATTAATGTAGCCTATTTTATCCACAAAACAACTCAAGGGCAAACTTTCCTTTCATTTCATGTTTCTCCTGCACAAGACCAGATACTACAATGTCTTACAGTATTTACTGTGCTGCTGATCAAATGAATAGAGCCTTGTTGAGTACAAGACACTTCTTTCAATAATAAATGCCCAACATTTAAATACAGCCATACAAAAACGCCGCTTTGACTCCACCGGTTGCAAAAACCACTCATCGCTCATCAATTAGCTTGAAGGGCACGTCATGAAAACATGGCCTTGAGGCACGAAGACACTCATTCCTCCCTCCTCCAGAGAGCGTCTCGCTTACATTACTACACACAACCTTTCCTAATGAAACAGAGCATCATTCATCCACCACTTTTGCACGGTTTAACTACGAGTGAAAAGCCAAGCGTGGCACCATCGTAAGAGCCCTGGGAACTCTGAGAGAATCCTGACAACCTCCGACACAAACAAACAAAGGTAACTGAATTAATCTCCATAAAGATGAAATGAACAGGCAACAGACAAATGAAGCAGGGGCTGCTGGACTTTTCACCCCAGGGTCTGAGTCAAAGAGATCAGAAGGTGTGCTAAGCGAGAAAGGCATCAACACAATGGTCATAGCCTCAGACAGACAAGTGCTAAAGCACGGCGGCACCAGTGCTGATTAAGTTTAAAGTAGACGGTCTGTGTTTTCCCTCCCACCAGCCTGACTCGCTCTCTCGTTTCCTCATTTTGCTCCTGCCAAACCTGCTGAGCGCCGTCATGGCTGTAAGTGGCACTGGCTTTCTGACAGGCCTGTTGCGACAAAGATGGTAATCAGAGGAGGTTGGTATAATGGGCTCTACCTGACACACAAAACACATCCTTATTATTACCAAAGTATTACAACATCTCAGCATTCCCACGCTTTAGCAAATCAGCAGTCCTGCGACACGCTTCCTGTGTTTGACAGTTTAAAGAAAGTGAGTGAGAACACATGGAAGTTGTGAGATGCTGAGACACGTTTTAACACTGAATGTGCTCTTTTCTTGTTCTCAGTAGTGTTTTATTATTATTATTTTAGTCAATTTATATAATAGACTAATAAATATTTAATATAATAGATTATAAATAGATAATAAATATTTATATAATAGACTAATATAATAGACTAATAAATAGCTTTTATTTATTCATTCACAATTCATTTTATTTTCCTTCGGCCTAATCCTATTTATCAGGGATCACCACAGCGGAATGAACCAATTATTCCAGCATATGTTTTACACAGCGGATGGCCTTTCAGCTACTACTTAGTACTAAGGAACACCCATACACTCTCTCATTTATACACACACTTATACACTACGGACAGTTTAGGTCCCTGCTGTGAGACAGTGCTAACCACTGAGCCACCATTTTTATTTATTATTTTAGTCAATTTATATAACAAAAAAGGTTGTAAATTGTGTTCATTTTCTGAACTTGCTTAATTTTAGATTTTTTTTATTGGGATTTACTCTTTTTTTTTTTAATGGGACTTATCTTTTCCTTGCTTGTTGAACTACTGCATCAGTCATAATTCAGTCATCATTGACCTTTTTATTTTGGTGGAACAAACATGATTAAGGCACATTAATAAATAAATCTAAATATTATGACTAAATTAATGTATACGCTAACTAAAATGTACTCACCTTGTTGTCATTCCAAAGTTCCATTCTCTCACACCTGAACACAATATACAGTTGAAGTCAGAATTATTAGCCGATCTTTTTTTCTTTTTTAAATAGTGAAATGATGTTTGAAAGGACAAGGAAAATTTCACAGTATGTCTGATAATATTTTTACTTCTGGAGAAAGTCTTATCTGCTAAATTTTGGCTGGAATAAAAACAATTTTTAATGAAAAAAAAAAACTTTTTAAAGGCAAAATGATTAGCCCCTTGAAGCTTTTTTGATAGTCTACAGAACAAACCATCACTATACAATAACTTGGCTGTTTACCCTAGCCTGCCTAGTTAACCTAATTAACGTAGTTAAGCCTTAAAATTTCACTTAAAGCTGTATAAAAGTGTCTTGAAAAATATCTAGTCAAATAATACATATATTACAAATATTATATTTACTGTCATCATGGCAAAGATAAAATAAATCAGTCATTAGAAATGAGTTACTAAAAATTATGTTTAGAAATGTGTGGAAAAAAATCTTCTCTCTATAAACAGAAATTGGAAGAAAAATAAACAGCGGGGCTTATAATTCAGGAGGGCTAATAATTCTGACTACAACTGTACATATATTTTAGTAATATTGGGAAGAGTTTTGCTGGCAATTTGAAGAGTTCCGATGCAAAAACCTCTAAGTGCCATCTGAAATTTGAATTGAAAATGAGCATTTTCTCAGCCTCCTTTGTTTATGTAGGATATTTTATTTGAAGACCATAAAAAAAGACTTATACTTTGCCGTAAAAGTGACATTAATGAACCTACCCATTGTAGCCTGATAAAACTGCTCAATTTGATAAGAAAATTTCAGACGGCATTTAGAGGTTTTTGCATCTGAACTCATTTACTTTTTTATCTTTTACAAAAAAAATAAATAAAATCTGATTCATGAACAGGGCAGCACGGTGACTCTGTGATTAGCACTGTCACCTCATAGCAAGAAGGTCGCTGGTTCGAGTTCCAGCTGGACCAGTTGGCATATCTGTGTGGAGTCTGCATGTTCTCCCTGTGTTTGTGTGGGTTTCCTCTGGGTGCTCCAGTTTCCCCCACAGTCCAAAAACATGAGGTGACTTGGGACAAAATGTCCTTTGTGTACGAGTGTGTGAATGTGAGAGTAATTCCCAGTACTGGGTTGCGGTTGGAAGGGCATCCGCTGTGTTAAACATATGCTGGAATAGTTGGCAGTTCATTCCGATGTGGCGACCCCAGATGAATAATAGGACTAAGCCGAAAAGAAAATGAATGAACTTGATAATGTACAAAACATGATGAAAAAATCCTAGAAAATGTATGAAAAGAAGAGATTTGTTGACAAAAAGACTAATTCATCTTCAAACTTTAATGATTTTTTGGGTTCAAAGACTGTATTAAGACCTATTCAGGGACTAAGCTGGAGGAAAATTGAAGATTTTTCTGATGTTTTCAAGATGTTTTTAAAAGTTGATTAAATTTTTTAAAAAGTGAGCAGTTTCATGTGCTGCATTCAAATATGTCCTTCTAGTGGACTTGCATACAAACGGACAAGGAGCACATTAGAATAGGAAAACATGCCTGAATTCCCTCCAAACAAGTCAAATGATGAACTCTCCATTTAATACCATGAAGAACGAGAAGAAAAACACAAAGAAACTAACACAAAGTAAGCTCGTCTTAAAAAAACATGGTTACCTCTTCCTATCCATCGTCTGGTATCATGTCACCCTTCCCTTTCTCCATCCATTTCAATATCTTCCCTATCAGCTCTGAGCGTCAGCGGCAGGTCTATCATGGAGGGGGAGCCGAAGGATTATGGGACATTGTGTTGGCTGCTGGCTTGTTTTGGCAGCTCATCAGACGGTGAGATCTCAGTAGTTGAGCAATGAGTCTGTCCCACCGGCCCTTTGTGTCTGAAGTGCCACAAACACTGAAGTGAATTAACTATTACAGGAAACATTGGTTATTAATTACAGAACTAGGAACAAAAACACCCTTGTTTCATAATGAAATTGGACAGAACATAACTGATTCACATATTTAATGTCCATTTGGAGGAGGGGATGTTTTATAACAGCACAGGTTGTAAACCCTTGATCATCGACAGAATGAAACAATATAGAAACATGAATCTCTGCTTTCATAAAATGCATTTGACATACACAACTTGGTAGAAGACCAGCCAACCAGGAAGGGATGTTACTGAAATACAGGATTGAATATTTACTGTGCATATTTCATATTAAGACTGCAAAGCTGACTGAAAAAGAGGTAAAGAGAAACATACAGTGAATCAAGTGAACAAACTCCATTGCACCTTGCTTTTAAAGGCAAAACTACAGTGTTTATGATGACTATTGGACAAAATTATTAAATGCAGTACATAACAGTAACAAGTGTCAATGGGATTAAGACTGCTTGAATGCAAAACGATATGCTGTAACAACAAAACGGATGTCTGCTCACACCAAACGGACATTTTTCAATTACATGTATAAGCGAGAGCTGCAGAGTTGTATCCTATCACTTTAAATATTCAAGCTTTTTAAATGCGATGGATTCTCATTGGCCTATGTTTTTATCAGTCATCAGATGGAAAACATATATATATATTTTGAAAGCAACTCCTATTTATTCCCCCATGTTACAATTTTGTATTTATTCCCCCATGTTACAGTTTTTTTGTATGTACAATGATTTTAGATCCATTTTTTAATTCTTATTCGTCATCATCCTTTTGGTGTGAACAGGACTTAACAAAACAACAGCAAAGGTATGCATGTATTTAATGACATATTCTTACATGAGGCATTGCTATATAATAAAAAAAGAAAACAGTAACTAATTATATCACTTAATGTTGATACTAATAATGCACTGAAATTTGCACCCAAAAAAATGTTATTTATCTGAAAACCAAATGAATATTGTTTGGGTTGTTCAGTTTTAATAAATAGACCTGATATGTTCTTTTGGGGAGTCACTCATATTTAAATCCAGCAATAGAACAGTTCTCCGTCCCTCAATAAATCTGTGAAATATTTCAGTTACTTTTCTTCTAAAATGGAAGCACATCCCAAATTCTGATACTTTTACCCATCTCGACACCTAAAGGATTTTATGAGTCGAATGGTTATTGAGATAAAAAAATGTTTTTGTGTGTTTTACAACAAAACACATGAATTAAAGCATATAATGTTAAAAATTTGATAAAATCTCAGATTAAAAAAGACATTTCAGGCAGCCGATATATAAAAAAAATAGTCCCTGCAAAATCCTGGAGGGATTGCCTAATATAGTAGCTAATCCATTTTTTGTTCTTGGCCGAAACAATGAAAAAATAAAATTGAAACATCTTTACTTTCATCTCAAATATTTCACCCATTTTCTTTGTGTTCGGTGAACAGTTTTTATTGAAATTTCAGTGCATCATTAGTTTTTATGCTATAAATACATATTCTACTCCCTCATCTGCTGATTACATCTTTAAGTTGGAAGCGGATTGAGCACCAAAAATAAGTAAGTACCATTGAAGTCCATACAACGCATGTCATGTCATATTTAAATCTTTTGAAGACTGTGACAAAATTTTCATTATTGGGTAAACTATTGAAGTCTGAAAAGCCTTTTTTTTCTTTCAGATTCAATTGCAGGAGAGGTGCTTTTAGGCTTCTTAGACTGAGTCAATTCCCTTATATGCATTTTCCAAGTGCCTAACCTCAAGAATGGAAGAATGGAAAAAGGAGAAAAAGACAGATAAAACTGAAAAACTCAGATTCTGCACACAGTGGTTTATACATTAGTAAAACTTCTGCTTACAAGGTGGCATTGATCCTTACATACTAAAAGCAAAAAAAATATTCTTGTAACTCTGATAAAATCCGGGACAGGCTAAAAAAGTAAAAGTCCAAAAAAAATATTAAAATATATTATTTTCTATTTAAATAAAATGGGCCCACTGAACATCATATGGCGTCCCCCATACACAACGCTAAACTAACAAAGTAACAGGCCAGTGGGGTACAGTGTGCTAAGTTTGCAAATATAAAAATGTGTACTTTGAGCACAGAAAAATAATAATCATCCCTTTGGTTTCTATAAACTAATGTTAAAAATACACCAAGCAGTGGTCAACACCACAACACCACTTGATTGGCAGCCTAAAACACACTCTCGGAGGCTGCTAAATGATCAGACATTTGACTTTTTGAGTGCTGTTACACCCGTTCAGCTATATTAACCACGACAAAACAAAAACAAACCCATACGCTTCCACTTTAGTCTCCAAGAAAAGATAAACCACTTCAGATGTATTAAGACTACTTAAAAAGTTTCCCTGTCACCATCTAAAGTCCAACATAAAAATTCAATAGAAAGAAATCTTTCACAGTTTTTTTAAGTCCTTCCCTTAGTCCCCCTTCCAGATGCAATTGCCTTGTTCCCTTGTGTTGTGCCGCCCCTCAGGAATGAGTCCAGCTGATGGGCACCCAGTGAGCTTCTGTCTCCACTTTCTTGAGCGCCTGTTTGAGCTCGCTGAAGGCAACTGTGAGGTCATCATTCACAATGACCTTTTCAAAGAGGTGACCGTACTGGTTTTCCATCATCTGAGAGGCACTGATCATCTCCAGAAAGTCCTCCTCCTAAACAACAAACGCATTCACAGCCAGTCAAAGTTCTTTTCTGAGACACATAATAAGCCCTAAAACACACTTTCCCACAGCACTCCCAAAACAACGGTCATAAACATCGACTTAATTAAAAACTATTCTTTTTTTTTGTTTATAATAAAACTACTTTAGATGCAGACATGCAAAAATATCTATATGCGATAAAAGATAAACATATAAACTGATATTTAATGTTCTACTGAGGTGGTGCACAGTTTAGAGTTATAGTTTGAGGTCTGGATCTCCAGCCGTTTTGATCACAGGAAGAGTGGAGTGAATAAACAGACCGCAATTTTATACCCTGGCATATGCAACAGATTGGCGCTTAAAAAGCCCTGAGAAATGATCAACAGTCATTATTCATTAAACATGTTCACTGTTCAAAACAAACTGACATTGATGAAAAACTTCAGAAACAAAATCAAATATATTTTATAACATGCTCAAGCTGCCACCACTAAGCATCCCCCCCACCCCCAAACAATGCAATCTTGGTAGTGTCTACTGGTTTATCTCAGGACTTTCAAACATGGCATTTGACCTTTCTGGGCTTGTGCATCCAAAATAAGTGTTTATGTGGGCAATCTTGGCATTCGGTGCCAGTCTCAAAGAACATGGCATGGTTTGAGTGGCTTTACCAATATAGATTTAACTTTTACAACACAAAAACATGAGACCCACACTGAGAGAGATATAATGCTATAAAACATATTGCCATGCTAAAAAAATAAATCAGAAGCTTCTGGAGGGACTTGAAGTTTTATACTCTACCAAGAAGCTATTAGGCGCATTTTACGTTTGGAAAAGTTGAAGTTTGGCATTAGCAGACAAGACAACAGCATGCATTTGGCCAGGTTTCCCCTCCCACTCTTTGTTGAACCCTTCCCTCTCCTCCTTTCTTGATCAGGGGTCGAGATGTAGTCAACGTTTCAGCTTCGGCACAGAGGGTCACAGAGCTGCTGGCGTTCTGAAAATTACAGCAGTCTCTCAATCTGACAGTCATTGGCAGAATGCATCAAAAGTCGCAGTTCATTGACTTAGTCATGGCTTTAATAAAGCTCTGGTTCAACGTGCTGAATTAGCTTGTGTTTGGTCTAAACAGTCAAAGGTTTGGCCCAAGGTCTGAACATATCTTTTCCTCTTTCTGTCATCAAATCAAAACCTCATGCTAATTGAGGTATAACAGATGTTGCGCCTCTAGGGAAGTGTTATTACCAAATCTGATCAGTTTCAAGGGTTTAAATCTATTTTTCCTCTGCATTTCTTTCCGATTGTTTATTTCCCAGAGGCTCTAATGCGTTTGCTCACTCAACGTTCAGGTCTTCCCTGAATTCTTCAGCACTAAGCTGCATCTCTCTCTTTCTCCCTCCTGCTTATCTCTCAATCCTTGCCGGAAAATCGATTTTTATTGGATCATATAAAGTGCACCTGCCCTTATCATTAAACCCGTTCAAAAAAGGACATCTCTGGGTCATCAAGAGGTCCTGCTTTTTATATTCCCAAAGTAAAGGCACTTAATCTGTGCTCTGGGCTGACTTTAACAGTGCACAGGACAAAAAGAAAAAAAAAAAACATCCTCCAATTTTAGCTTGTGTTTCCATTCCTCATTAAAACGATTTCTTGCCAGATGATGAAACCCTCTGCTCGTCCACCTCTGCTGACATTTTTATGAAATTTTAAGGTTTTTGCTACTCCTAAAAGGAGAATGAGTGATATTTTGATCTTTTACAGAACCAAAAATTGCATTAATGTTATACAAGCGATACTAAAAGTGAGAACAATAGAGTAGTGGGGTCTGGATTCACCGAAACAAAGGGAAGCCTGTTTTCTTGCACAGAGTCGACAGCGCTCAAGCTCATGGCTCTAACAGACGCAGTGTCTCTCTGGGAAAGAAATACTGCAAAGTCCTGGATGAAATATGCTTCTGAGATTTCATCAAACACGATACTTCTTGCATATCTATAATAGGCTGAATCTGGGTGCCTTTAACACTGTCAGGGTCTATAATCCACTTTTGCTAAGTTTTGCCAGCAAGGAAGGGTTTGTTTTTCCCCCTCAATAGTACCCACAATGACCTGTTGAAAGCAGGCAGACGGTTGCTGTGGATGGTGCCGACAGCTTTTGGTACAGCTCCTCTCACAATAGAGATAGCCAAAGCAACTTTCCCACTGACAACAGCATAATCCTTGAGCTTTGGGCGAATTGAAAACTTTGGGAAGCGTGGTGTGGTCTAATCTCACATTCAGTGGTTTGAATTAATATGACCAGCATCGACTCAGTTTCAAAGGTGCTGAAATAAAAATAATGAAATATGCAGCTAAAAGTCTAAATTTGTACTAGCTACCTTGTAAATTTACACACTTTTCCCAATTTAGGTATTAGACATTTAACACCTTAAACACCTATAAGATAGATATCAGACATTAAACACCTTATTAAATTATTTTAATGATTTTTTTGTAATACTTTATTTTTATTTATTTTTTAAAGGAAGAAATTTCAAGAACATTGGAACAGCTGACAGGTCACATACAGTATGTTCTTACAAGTCACATTAATAAATACATATATATATATATAGTGCAGTTTACACCATGTAAAGGCATAAGCACAATCCATTTTTTAGGATTATTAGTATGCGAATTATGAATGGATACTTCTTTTGTAGTTTTCCACAGAATTTCAAGATGACATCAAGTTAAATGGGCTTTAACCACTTCATGACATATTATGGACTACAATTTGTTACTTTATTTAAAGCAGACAACTTATGGCCACAACTGTGATGGAGAACATCTCTACTATCAAGTATGACTTTTGCACCTATAAACTTAAATTTTACTGCATAAGGGATGCTTGTCAGAAGTCTGAAACAGTGCAGAGTGCTGTTGTATAATACTAAAGGGCTTTATTTTGTGAAAACAACCACCTAAATGCACATTTTCCTACTTATGACATAGCTACTTGCCACAAAGGCAAACAATTAAACTACATTGATATGAACTGTAATAATTCTCTAATTCTATACTAAAAGAAAAGCTAGCAGAAATAAAAACAACTGAATAAAGCCTATATACAGCGGTGTGATATATTCTAACTGTCAAGATCATTCAAAGCACATGTAAGAACCAGTGTTAATAGATTTTTAGTAATTGTTATTCTTGATGTACCACCAGCAGGATCGAAATATTCCAGAGTGCCATTAAACAATAGTACGTAATGCACTCGTTGAGGTCACATTGAAATATAGAGTTAAATTAAGACACGTAGAATTTGATCCAACAGTTTAAGTCATTATTAAATACTATTAAGCTGCCTGTATGCAAGTAGCTAAAAGTGAGAGTTTGTCTGCTAAACCATAATATGAGCACATTTATTAGCATTTTTAGACGTTTGAAAGATAATTCTGTTTGTGCCATTTTAATCTAAAAAAGAAGACCTATAGCAAAGAATAAGGTTATGACATGAAACTTAGAAAACCAGAAGATAAAGCTATGGGATATACCTGAATAAATCATTATTGTTTAAATGGAGAAAATTACATGCAGTATTATTCCTGTTGTTACCATTATTCTTGAGATGTTGCAACACATTATAAAGAGTCCTTATAACGAGTTTTTGAAAATTACCTTCCATGTAGTGTGTAACACAGCTCTAAGTGAATGAAAACATACAGCTGAGGTTTAAATCTGAAAGTGCGCCGTGTTTAACACTATTGATTATCAAATGGAAAAAACAAATAAATTAATCGTCTAGCGTTCAGATATTTTGCCTGCTCATATTGATGTCAATACAAGACATCGTCAAGTGCTAAATTACAAAGATTACAGTACGATCCCTGAGAGATGGCCAGTATAGCCAGTATAACCTTGTGCTGTATTTGTTGCTGTCATTTTTCTGAAGATTAATACAATGAAATACCCTGCAATGTGGGATTCGCTGGCCATTTGTTAAAGGAAGGATCGGCAAAGACTATATTAATATATAGGACTTTGTCATTAAACAATTCATATGTACCTGTCTCTTCTTCCTCTGGATCACAACCTGTGGGTGTGATTAAAATGGTTGCTCCTTGTTTTCTGTAGTTTGCAAAATATGTATTTAATTGTGTGTAATCACACCGCACGGCTTGTACGTTATCTCTCTGGTTAAATCTAAATCGCAGACTGCTTCATTTACCGATTTAAATGCGTTTTTGAGCTAGCAATTCCCTGCTGTTTGTCATTGCTATTACCATTAGAAGTTCCTACACAAATGTGATGCGGCCAATTTTCAAAATAGTTCAACTCACGCTCGATTCACACGGGGCTGCAGCATCAACGCGTGTCTAAAGTTACTGTACATCTTGACATGTGAAAGTGTTCCTCCATATGTGTACATTAAAGTTGTTTACAACATTTACCCATACACAGAATTTGAAATGTAATCAAATGTGTAAACACGGTTCGCGCTTCTGCCTTTGGATGTCTCTAGAACAAAGCAGCTGCATGAATGCCAAAGCCTTAAAAAAAACTGAAACCATCAACAAAAGCCCGACCCCTTCTATGTTTATAAATACAAGTGCAGCCATTTAGAGCTCATTTCTGGTTAGTAATGTCAGAATTTACAAGCATTTTGGAATGGATGTGTAAATGTTGTTTTCAACAAAATTCCAGGACGTCCTTTCCTGTGTGAACATCCCTTTTTTTAAATTTACCAGTAAAGTCATTCTGGGAATTCCGATATTTACCATTATCACTGTTTGAAAGGGGCTAATAACAGTATGCATATCAGCCTTTTGTTGGAGACCCCTCAAAACAAAATAATACCTTTTATAATGCATAAAAGGGGCTTCTTTTACTTTATTTATAAGTCATTTTGCATGTCTTATAATACATTAAGAGTACGCTCATATAAATATAACCTTCATCAATCAATTGTTATCAAATTTCTTAATTTCCACCACCTAATATCCATATGTATTATATTGTAGC